CACCAATATTTGATATAAAAAGTATTGAATGAATTGTTTTTCCAATGGATATGAAGTTAACAATTGATGTAAATCTGTTTCTAATAATTCTGTAACAAAATAACTAAATATTATGAAAATGTGATTTGCAGATTTTAGTTCGCATGTTTAGGAAAAATCTATTACTATTCATTTCATTTCAAATTTGCGTAATGGTCTATTAAATTTATACTTACATGTCCTCTAATGGCGAAATAAAAACATCATTTAAACTAATAATCTATTGTTTAGTCATAATATAAGTTTATCAGAGATCAAAATAATTAAAAAAGAAAGAAAAAAAAAATTACATTTTCATGTTTCAATTGCTTGAGTAATTTAAATTCTCGAAAGGTTCTTTTTGCAAGAACAGGTGTACTAAAAGGTTTTAGAATTTTTTTGATGGCAACATTGGTTGTTTTAAGTTGGTCTTTTGCAGAACTGCAATGATTATTATTATTATTATTATTATTATAGAATAATTATTATTTTAAATTTAATGCAGCATTCATTACTTATATCTACCAAACTAAACCAAATGCTCCCATGCCAATTGGTTGAAGATCCACATATCTATTTTATTTTGTTTAAATTTGTTTTATATTATATGTTGTTTGCTGGTTAGAAACTCATATTAAAAAACAATTTATCAAAATGCCTTGTTGTGACTTCAAAAACGGTTCCAAATATTGATAATTTCACGAAATCAGTCATATTAGTTATTTCATTTATGAGAAAAAAAGAATACATGTATGTTTGTTTTCCATCTTTATTATTTTTCAATATCCAACATTCAATACATCATTATGAAGTCATCAAATCTTAATTTCTAGTCGATCTTTGCATAATATCGTTGTATAATATCGTGTAACAAATATATACTTGTTAGCCACAAAGAATACACGTTATTAGTAAAATTTTTCTCAATATGTCGATTATGTGGGCAGACAAATATAAACCTGACACTTTTCAAAATCTCAACTATCATGAAGACATTTCGAAAAGATTAAAAACTTTGGTGAGCTTTAAGACCAAAAGTTGAATAAACACGTAAAAAATGTTATTTAGTATTAAAATCAAATTATAGGCTTCATCGGATGATTTTCCACATTTACTCGTATACGGACCCTCAGGTGCAGGTAAAAAGACGCGTATTGCTTGTACTTTACGAGAATTATTTGGTGATGGTGTTCTAAGGGTATATATATTTAATTTTAATTAAACAATATTTCTTGATTCTAGTGGATAATATTTTTTCTGATAACATTTCTCCTATTCTTATTCTTCTTTAGATTAAATCAGATCAACAAACTGTTATTCCGCCTTCAAATAAGAAATTTGAAGTTAACATAATAGCAAGTAATTATCATATTGAAATATCACCTAGGTAAATCAAATAGATAATGTACTCTAATGAAATTTCTTCTTGACCATCTAAACTGATTTATTATCATTACCATTAGTGATGTTGGAATTCATGATCGAATAGTTATTCAACAGCTAATCAAAGATATTGCACAGACTCAACAAATTGATGCAAGCGCTAGGCATAAGTTCAAGGGTGATTAATTTTAAACATTGCAACCTTTTTAATTTTTTTTGAAATTGTTGACTTGTGTGTGTCTATTATTTTTCCTAAAAAGAGACTTTATGGTCTTAACTAGAAACCAAGCAATATTTTAATTAATGAAAATTGTGACTTGAAGGTATTTATAAAATGGGAGGGGGGGGGGTAATTAATTCAATTGATGTAATTTTAATATACATGGTTTTATATATTTTTTAAAGATTTGTGATTTTGGGCTAGCTCGAATTCAAGACCCAAAGATGACTGGTTATGTTGCAACTAGATATTATCGAGCTCCTGAAATCATGCTAACATGGCAAAAATATGATGTAGCAGGTAATGAATGATAACGTGATAATGAAGAAATTTGTTGTTGTTCATTTGCTAAAGAAGAAAAAGAGGGAGTTCATTATATTATTGAAATATTAATAATAAAAATAACAGATTTTAATATTATATAGTGGATATATGGAGTGCTGGTTGTATTTTGGCAGAAATGATAATGGGAAAACCTTTATTTCCTGGGAAAGATTGTAAGTTTTACTTGAAAATAAATTTTTTAAAATAAAAATATCTGTAAACCATTCATTACCAAAGAAATTTTTTTGGGTGGAAACTCAAACTTTTTTTAAATATTATTATTTACTATTAGATATGAAGCAATTTTCAATTATTAGAGAATTATTTGGCACACCATCAGACGATGTAATCAAAACAATTTGTAATGATGCTGTATGTATCTATTATAATTTATCTTTGTTTAATAACAATTTAACAAATAATGATTTTAATAAATATTCCTTTGATAGACTTTGGAATTTGTATTATCATTGCCAAAAAGAGAAAAGGTTCCGTTATCTCAAAAATTTCAAAATGTTGATTTTGAAGGTAAATAATGATTTATCGGAAAAAAAATTACAAACAATAATAACCATAATAATAAATATTTTTATTATTTAAAAAGTATTGGATTTACTTGAAAAAATGCTTGTTTTTGATCCAAAAACACGAATCACTGCTGAGCAAGCCTTAGCTGATAAATATCTAGATCCATATCATGATGAATCAGATGAACATGTTGCTGATGAAGCATTTGATTGGTCATTTAATGAAACAGATCTTCCAACTGATAATTGGAAAATTAGAATATATCAAGAAATTTTGGGTATGAAATAAATTTTTTAAATTTTTATTATTTTCCTATTAATAAAATTAATAATTTATTATGATAGATTTTCATAAAGACAATGCAGTGATTGCTCAACCAACTTATCGATAATTTATAAATAAATATCTTATTCATAAAATAAAATAAAATCAATGTTAACAATTTTATTATGTATATATTAATTAATATATATATATAAATAGTTTATTCACCAAAGTTATTTGTTAGAAATTTTATGAAATAATATATATAAATTTAAATTAATAAATTTAAATATCTAAAAGATCTGTAATTTTTTGTTTAAACAAGCTTCTTTGCTTCAAAGAAATTCTTTAAATGGGTCATTTGCCATAAACATGTGATTCCAAGAACAATTAATTGAATTACTGTCCAATATAATACACGTGAATTTGTAAGTTCAGATTGATCTCTAAATTCTGCTTCACGTTCCTAAAATACATTTTATATATTTATTATTAAAGAGGTCAAAATGATAAATGTCACTTTTAATACTTACACGTTGATAACTTTGTTCTCTTCTGATATCTGTAACACGATAATTTAAATCATGGACTCTTTGTGCAAGATCTATATAGTAACAATAATAACAATATTCAAATTATTACAAGACACGCATATTTAATTTGTTACATAGAATTATATCTATCTACCACTAAAATGTTCATGATTATCTTCACTATCGGTTGAGTCACCAAATACGATATCTAAATGTAATTTCTTTTAAAAAAGAAAAATTAAGAAAATAAGTTCTCATCTCTTTTTGTTTTTCCCACTTCAACTAAATATAAAACTTGTAAAGAAATTCCAACAAACCGTTTGTGTAGAAGAAAACCAATTACTTGAATTGGTTTGTAAACATATGATATGATCGCCTGCTTCTGCTGTGGTAAAAGTGAATCGACCTTTATTTGCACCTCTTTGATTTACAATACGATGATTATGAGGTAATTCCTGAGTTTCATTAATTAATTAATTAAAAAACTTTTTATCATAACATCCCTTCATTATCATCAAGAACATGGAATAAGTAAATAAATATATATGATATGAATACCTCTACAATTATTTGAATCCCAAGTTGTGTATTTTCAATATATTGTTGTTGTGTATCAGACCATTCTTCTGCCTTATAGGTACCTTTTAACAAAAGGAAAAAAAAGGAAAATTATATAATATAAAAAAAAGATCAACAAAAAAAAATCATCCGTCAAAAATAAATTGAACAAACCTACAACAAGTATGTCTTTTGGCAATTCTTCATTAAAACACTTTGGGTCATTTCCCTCAAGATAGAAGTATAAAGCTGAGCTTGTTCTTATAAGTGAAAAAGTTAGAATAAAAAATACAATGGTTAGAGAAGTGATTCTGTTGTTGTTTTTCCACATTATGTATGATTTTGTTTTTTTCTCTCTTAAAAATATTTTCGACCAATCAAAAGGTTCCTATAGTGATGGTGAATTTTCTGCATAATCGCAAAAATACCCGCAAATTTGCGCAGTATTCTGTGAAGCCATGAGAATATTCGAAAATATCCACAAATTTGCGCAGCAATATTATTAAAATATCCGAATTATTTTTTTATTTTATTTTATTTAAATGACATATCATGTATAGGAAGTATAGGAAAAATAGACAATTTTTTAGTTCTTGGATTTTAGTATCTTATAAATGATGTCCTTTAGAATACATATTATTAAATATAAATTAAAATAAAAAAATAAAATATTAATAAATATATAATTATCAAATAAATTATGAATTAGATTTTCATGATTATACACATTTTATATAATTTTAATTTTAGCATTTTTATCAATCCAAGAATTAATTGCATCTAAGGTATTGTTACATTTTGGTATATCTGTACCATTGTATATTTTTGATATCATTGATTGATTTAAACCAATTTCAACTTTGGAATTTAGACAAATTTCTTTGGCAATCTGTTTTTGACTTGTAGTTGTAATATTTTTGCAATAATCTACTACAGATTTAAATCTCTCCACAAGCATCCTTTCCTCTTTTGTAAATAGTTTACACTTTCTTTTTTGCCATTCTTCACTTGGATCATCTATAATTTTTTGGTCAGTTCAAGGAAATTCTCCTATATTTATATCTTTTTAAAAAGCATGTTTTATTTTATATATCATTACACTTAAAAATAGTAAATACATTGACATGTGGTTAAAAATAATGAAGAATAAAAGCGATCTTAATTAATCTAATAAAAAAAGAATGATTTGATAAACTTATGAATTAACCTCAAATCAGTCAAAACATTAATTATTTGAAAATTGATGGAAATTGAATGGTTTGAAATACATTAATAGTCGTGTGACATGTCCTAAAAATCAAGGGGCAAGTTTATTTTCCGAAAAATTTCCGGTGATCTACACAATTT